CACTTTCAAGTTACTTTTGGTCTTTTAAGCCATTCAAAATCCTCTCCATTTCTGTAATATATATCCCATTCTATCAAATGAGACCAAGAAAACAAGAATATAACCATAAATACCATACAAAAATACACCGCAAAGTTGCTGTTTTAAACCAAAAATACGGTCGCATTTTTCTCATTATGCACTATGTGCTGCAGGATTTTTTTATACTGCGCACACTGACCACTCAAACCCATTCTTTCATATGTAGACTTACCAGCTTTCTGCTGGAAGATTAGAAGCCACTAGAATTTTGGTGTAATACTACGGCACCAACACTTGCTTGTAAGCAGTAGTACTATGACACCGACAGTGAAAGGGTTAATGACACCAATATATGATTTTTTCTGGTTTTTAATTGCTTTTAATGTTTAACACTATATGTACTAGTTTCTTATCAAATGTGTTTAAAGATGTTTCAGCACTTCAAACACTGGGAAATGCTTAGCTCAACACTGCTCTACTTTGAATATTCTGTATACAGTAGGGCCCCACTTTACGGCGTTTCGCTTTACGGCGTTCTGCTAATACGGTCATTTCAAATTATCACCAAAACTCTCTATATGGCTCTCCCCACCTGACTTTCTAATATGGTCACCATGCCCCACCCTGTTTCTTTACATTCTCCGTGAGATCCGTAAGCACTAAGTCTCTCCATTATGTCTGGAAACTCCAAAATTTCAAGCATTTTTAAAAGTTATTTCATATTTTATAATACAGTGGACCCTCGAATTTAGCAGTGCCTTTTCTGTATGCAATACTATTTTTATTATCTATAAAATGTATTGTTTGTTAATATTTTTGGGTGTCTGGAATGGTTTAATTGGATTTACATTATTTCCTATGGGAAATATTAACAAAACATACATTTTATAGATAATAAAAATAGTTTTGCATACAGAAAAGGCACTACTAAATTCGAGGGTCCACTACTCTGATAATTATACTTATGTATGCCTGTACCTAAATAAACTTACATACTGCGCTGGCATGCAGGTACACATTAAAATCAGCAAGTGTCTTATGTCTTGAGACGTCATATTAGTAATGATAATAATAATCACTGAGTCTCATTAAATGTTGCATTTTACGTTAATATACATATTTTCATTAATCCAGCTATGATATTTTTTTCAAAATTATATAATAAACACGATACATAACATATAAAAATGATAAATACACCCCACAATAGAATAAATAAACATAAATATGAGATGTGGTAGCCAGACTTTTATGAGTGACGGCAAGAATAAAATTTTCTCTAGTCCAACATCAGAGAAAATGTGTTACTCGGGGTAACTGTAGAAAATTATTCCTTTCGTATTTATGTAAGTAAGTTTATTCAGGTATACACAAATACAGTTACATAGATTATCATACATAACAGCATGTGTGTAAAGAACCTAGGATAACCCAAAAAAGTCAGTGACTTATTTCCACTGCCTTCACTCAGAGTGTCATTTCTTCTAAAAATGGTGTTACATATTTATTTATTGAGACAACTTGAACACAAACCAGACGTGTACACTTTGTTTGTTTACAAAACCTGCGTTGCGCCTGTCCTCCCTCATGTACTCATTCTCTCTCTCTCTCATTTATTCGTTTTATCTCGTTTACTCACCCCTGACCCTACATTAAGACTACAAATATTTAAAGATAAGTAATGAGTGAACTGTATATGCATTTTATCACTCTGGGATACTTAAATATCATAGAATAGTATGTGTGGGTGGAATAGCCTGGTATGGTAGCCCAGCTGACTACCATACATACCACACTCAATTTCTTAAAATAAATACTACTCATCTCACCCTAGATTAAGACTACAAATATTTTAAGGTAAGTAATGAGTGAACTGTATATGCATTTTATTGCTCTGGGATGCTTAAATGTAATAGAATATTATGTGTAGGTGGGGTGGCCTGATATGGTAACCCGGCTGACTACCATACATACCACGGTTGATTTCTTACAATACTACTTGTCTCACCCTAGATTAAGACTACAAATATTTTAAGGCAAGTAATGAGTGCACTATGTGAGTATTATACTTTTTTATTGTTTTTTTGATGCCTAGTTCTATTGCTAACCTAATATATGTTAGTGTAAACTTGTTATCTAGTATTTGTATGAATTTATAAGGGGAAAAAAGGGCGTTCCACTTTACGGCGATTTCTGCTTTATGGCGGTAGTTTGGTATCTAACTTGTCGTATAAGTTGTGCCCTACTGTATATGTATACAGTATAATTAAGTTTTATTCAATATTCTATTTACTATTTTGGTCTTTTAAGGCTATGTGCAAGGAATACTTCTAATATTACAATTTCTGGGTTATTGTGGGTTAAATATACTTAGTGTCCTTTGTGGCTGAATTCCAGTGCTAATATTTGAAAAATTCAAAATTCAAATACTACTTTATTTCTTTTATGCAGTAAACAGATTATGTAATTTGGAATGAATAAGTCATTTTTGTGCCACTTCCACCCTTTGTTTTCTGGTAGGAAAGCTGGTGGCAGAACAACAGATCCTGATTTCACTGTTTACTTTTGCTAGTTAGGCTTACTACTATATGTCAGAAACTGGGTCATCACCTGTGTAGTTAACAATGATGCAATGTGTGGACCCTGGCCTTAGATTATTTTCAAATGTATGAATAGATCAAAGAAGGCCAAAAGAGTTGTTATGAGGTCAAAAATATTGGCAAATTTGAAAGAATGAAAAACCGATAGTACTAGTACATATGACAGTCCTTAGTTGTGTACTACCATGTCAGACACAATTTAAAGATTAATGCAAAATTATGAAAACATTATACCTCACTAATATACATTTACATGAATTTGGCAATACTATACAGGGAACTCTAATTTTCATGTGTAAGATGCAACAATGTAAATTATTTACACATGATGTCTAACATTTGTAATCACGACTGTAACAAAAAGTAAACACTGTTTCCATACATAAATATCAGCTGATAACTCAGAAGTACACTTGAAAGTTACAGCATACTGTCTAAATCAAACAAATGGAAATAACCTAGCACATTAATATTTGACATGAGCAAGAATTTTTAAATTACATTTTTATAGGCTGCTTGTTAAGAAATCACTTATTTACCACACAGCTTTTGCTATTTTTGTAAATTATATACAGCACTACAATAACCAAGTAATGGCCGATTCAAATCATGCTTATATATTTTATAGAAGCATCTATGCTACTTGCACATTTTTACATCTGTGCTGTTATTTCATCTGTTCCTGAGTCTGCTTATTTGTTGCCTTATTATGACTTGCCTTATTCTCCCTTTGCATGCTGTCTTCTGCTTTGAAGTTTTCCCACTACCTTTCCATAATGTACTTAATAATACATACTGTATCTTTCAGCATTTTATGACTTGAACTCTATGATTCTATTTTAATCTCTTCAGTGCCTCGTTTATTTTACTTGAGAATCTCTCACTTAAATCTTTTTTCCTTCCTTTTTCCATCCTTCTCATAAAACTACTGTAATTTTCCATAAATTTAAATTTGTTTTATCAAACACATTTCTATTTGTCCTGTACTTTCCATAATATTTGAGGTTTCTTATTACACACCCTATATTGTATGTACTAGTATTTCTCTCTCCCCTTATATTCAAGTAACAAACTGCTATGTAAACATAAATGGTAAATAAGTAGAGATTACAGCATATAGACTGCAGATAACTTTATCTCTCACTGCATCTTATCTCTTACTGCCTTCTTTATCTCTTACCTCTAATGCATGCAGCTCTTATTAAATATCACATGTGTATCTGTTTAAGATGGTATCAAATCAATTTAAATCAAATACAGTACTTTTATTTATCGAAGTACAATAACATGCAAAAAATGAAAACATTATTAAACACCACTAAGACATTACATCATTAAAAAATACAAAATATAAAAATCAGAAAAAACACCAATACAAAAGGATCCTATGTTTAAACTTAATTAAAATCTACTCAAGAGATACATATGATGGTGACCCCAGATAACAATGAGTGAACAAAACATTTTCACAGCCACACTTCCTATGGAAGTTCAATCATAACTTTCATTACAATATTTCCATATATGTACTGAATAAATGCATATCACTGGCTTCAAGAATGAGAGAGGCAGGTAGAGTGATAGGTTAAATAATAAAGTTTATCATGCAAACATGAAGACAGTTAGTTCCAAGAACTGCCTAAGGTCAGCACAATTCTCAGCAATAAGCAGGCTACAAAATGTAAAGGCAAAATGCTTTTAAAATTAACAATAAATCAGTTGAACTGCCACTGACATATTGTTAAAATCATGGCCCACTCTTAAAATGATAAAACTGTACAATTAAAATAAAATCAAGGTACAGCACCATACAAAAATAATACAGCAGACCACAGGTTCATAGAAAAGCTCAAATTTAATCAAAATTGTTTGACAACAAAAGACACTACTCCTTCCACATACATTAAATAAAAAATATAAAAATGTAAAATATACTGAGGGTATTTTTACCAACATTAAACAAAACACCATACAGTAGATGATGCCAAGATATGTGGTTCACTTTATAATTTGAGGGTCATTCTTAATAAGAAATTTATAAATAAATATATACTTGTAAGAAACAAGTGTATAAGTGAAAAGTGAAATTACTACTAATGAAAGATAATCATGAGGAAACTGCAGGTATACTTTTAAGTCTTTTCATACTGAACATTTGCAGAAGAAAGTATGGGACGATCTATAATCTAAGTTATTGAAATCCGATGTATACATCCCAATATTGAACTTGACACTTTATCAGTGCTCAAAGATAATGCCACAAAACCAGTTACATTAACCTTTTTCTGCTCAAAATCTCATCAGTCAAATTGACATTGTACTATAATAGTATATAATATCATTAGAATATCCAAAGATATAAATAAGTGGTAAACTCACCTCTTTTCCCTCTTCAGTGTCATCGTCATCCCGGAACTTGACGACTGAAACTCGAGACTCTTCATTTGGGTCGTTGGGATCCCAGCTATCATCATCCTCAGGGGCCCATTCACTTGCTGCGGGGCCGATGGCGGTCAAATTATCGGTGCTCAGGTCGCCAGTGCGGTACAGCCTGCCCTCGCTACCAGCCATACCACAGGCGTACTCTATAACAAGGGACGACCCACTCTAACTTCACTGACCACAGACAATCTCAGACCTGGCTGATTGGCCACATTCAGGCACTTGACTGGATGACATACAACAGAAAACTGACTGACACACCACAGGTAAACATATCACATTGACAACAAATCAGCAGGCATCTTAAAACACTATACCAATTACGAACACCATGGTGTTTAGCATAACACTACCCCACACAAACACCTTGGCATTTGAAAAAAAAAAAAAAGCTCTTGCTCACACTACACAGGAAGGAATACCAATTACACTCAAATAGAAACAGGAAATATCAACTACACCCACACTGAAATAGGCATTACGAACTACACCCAAATATAAATAGGATATATCAACTACACCCAAATGGAAATAGGCAATTTCAAAACTAGCATGGAAAAACAAAGATATAGCCAATGAAAGAAATTCACTAAATTAGCAAATAATGGTTTATTACAAAAATTAATGCTAGTAGTAGAGACAAAGTAAAAATGTTTTATACCAAAAGCAACAAGAAAGTGATAGTAACATACCAATTTTAACAATATATATTTCCAGTATGTTTAGTGTTGCAAATGTCTTTGTTAAAACAAATATCCAGAAAAAAAGTGGATCTGTTGTTATTGCAAAAACAATAATATTAAATTTAACATGAATCAAAGAATGTGCCAAACACTGTACCACTCATACTGCCCTATTAAAACAGGATCATCAGGTCTTGTATAGTAATACAGTACCAGATAAAAAAAACTTTAATTACTGGAGTGTATCTCTACAGATTAAACAGGCATGAAAACTTAGAGACTAAAATTTCAAAAACTGTCTCTTAGATCAAAGTTTATTTTTAACCCTTTGACTGTTTTGGTCGTATATATACGTCTTACGGGCCAGTGTTTCGGACGTATATAAACTCAATAATTTTAGCGGCTTCAAATCAAGCAGGAGAAAGCTGGTAGGCCCACATGCGAGAGAATGGGTCTGTGTGGTCAGTGTGCACCACATAAAAAATCCTGCAGCACGCAGTGCATAATGAGAAAAAAAACTGACTTTTTTTTGGATTAAAATGCCGAATTTGAGGTGTGTTTTCCTATAGTATTTATCGTTGTACTCTCCTTTTCATGGTCTCACGTGATAAAATGGAAAACATATTACAGAAATAGAAATGATTTTGATTAGTTTCACGATGAAAACAACCTTGAAATTGAGCTCAAAATAGCAGAAATGTTCGTTTTTACCAATGTTCAGGAGTAAGCAAATCATACCACATGTCCCATACACATCAACTGGGGAGTCTAATATTCTTTCACTAGTGCACTGATATTATTTACACCATTTTTACAATAATACAGTAGTCTGCATAACAGTAAATCTTCTATTTTTTGCATGAATAAAAAATTAAAATAGAAAGCAATAGTAATATAAGAGGGGCCTAGAGACGTGACTAATGAACAGAGGACATGTTATTTTAGTGCCAAGAATGTCTACAGTGTTTATTCTGGACCCTATTTTGAAATTGGCATCTTTTTTAATTTGCATGAAATTGGCCAAATTGCCAATTTCTGACCACTTTATTGGGTAGTTCAAATTAGTAAATGGGTGGTTTCTTGTGCTCAATTGATAGAAAAAATGAAGTTCTAAAGAAATAGCTATGAGTTTGGTCAACTGGAACAACGGAATTGGCCAAAAACAGGGCTCAAAGTCGGCGAGATAGCCGATGCGTATGTGTCACTGAGACAACTAACTTCGCAGGAGCGTAATTCCGTGAGTTTTCGACCAAATTTCATACTTTTGTGTCATTACCATCGGGAAAACATTCTTTATCGTTTCATAAGTTTTTTTTTTTCTTTTTTCAAAATTTTTTTCGACAGAATGACAGTTTCTGAAAAGGGGCTTGCGACAGTCAAAGGGTTAATACACATACATTAATTCCCTTTACTTGTTTTCATTCCACAAACATCTAAGAGTGTGACATAGCAATTTAGTCTGTGTGGGTGTTGATAATTTATAATTTCCTTAGTCTGTCTGGGGGGTTGATAATTTCTAATTTTCTTTGTGAAATGTCCACGACCCAAATTTAAAACATATATAGATGAATTCTGTAAATTATTTTATCCATCCAATGTATGAAGTAATATATTTTTTATATAGAACAATTTACAGCAAGGGGTTATTATGCCTACCTAATAATGAAGGGACAAAAGCACAAAAAATCAGCTCTGCATACAATTCTTGGAAGAACTACAGATTATAGTACAATATAAGGAAAGACAGGATATATTATAATGGCAGAATGGACAAATAAGACTGGATTGATAACAAACATTATGTTGAACAAGATGGAGGTAGTGTTTGTTATGAACCAGCATAAAGAATCACTGCATAAAATCAACATCAAAATTTTGGTAAAAAAAAACAGACTTAAAACACTATATGTTAAAAGAAAAAATAAATATAAGACTGATTTTAGAAGTAGACAGAGCATTCAGGGGTTGAGGTCAATGATCTATCAGATGACGATGGGATGCCTATGAGGTTGATTATCATATTTATGCTGGTGATGTACAGGTTTACATCTAAGTTTTGAATAAGAAATATGCAAAGCTCTGTTTAAGTTCTCTTTTTCTAGATATTCAAACTTGGATGACTAACAAAAAATTTAAACTAAATGAGGGTAAAACAAATATTTTTAGTATGAGAGGAATACAGATTGGAGATTTTGGTCCCTTGGATTATGGCCTTGATAGTTTGCAGTCTGTAGGATCAGTGAAAGATATGGGTGTGTACCTGGATTTTTCATTGTCATTTATTGGGCACATCACTACCTAAGAACAAGGAGAAGGCCGGAGGCAGTGGAGATGTCATGTCTGAGGGAAATGTATGTGTGAATATAATGCAGAGATTCCATAGTTTGGAGATTAGGAGGAGGTGTGGGATTACTAAAACTATTATCCAGAGGGCTGAAGAGGAGTTATTGAGATGGTTTGGACATGTAGAGAGATGGAACGACATCGAGTGTATATAAATCTGTAGTGGAGGGAAAGCAGGGTAGGGGTTGGCCTAGGAAAAGTTGGAGGAAGGGGATAAAGGAGGTTGTGTGTACCAGGGGCTTGGACTTCTAGCAAGCATGTGTGAGCGTGTTAGATAGGAGCAAATGGAGACAAATGGTTTTTAGGACTTGATGTGCTGTTGGAGTGTAAGCAAGGTAGCATTTATGAAGGGATTCAGGGAAACCGGCAGGCCGGACTCGATTCCTGGAGTTGGGAAGTACAGTGCCAGCACTCTGAAGGAGGGGTATTAATGTTGCAGTTTTATAACTGTAGTGTAAGCATGCCTCTGCCTAGACAGTGACGGAGTGAATGATGATGAAAGTTTTTCGTTTTTGGGCCACCCTGCCTTGGTGGGAAATGGTCGATGTATTAATAAAATAATAAATCACTACCTGAAAACTCCAGAGCCTAACTATCTGTTAGCTACTTCAAAACTACTGTAAAAAAAAAATACCTCCTTTCCCTCATATGATCCTTGTAATAATTAATTATGATAAAAACTGTTCATCATTAACCCTTTCAGGGTCTGTGCTGTAGATCTACGGTTATACGTTGAGGGTCCAAACCATAGATCTACGCCAAAATTCTAGCAGCACGAGAAGGCTGGTAGGCCTACATCTGAGAGAACTGGTCTGCATGGTGTGTGTGCACCATAAACAAACATTCTAGGTGCCTGCATGGCATTGTGGGAATGCTGCCTCAGTAACCTTTGTTCACCATGCCTCGCCGCAATTGGGCGAATTGGGACTCTCCTCTTTGTAACTGATAGTTCTGACTGATTGAAGTGGAAATGAAGAAGAATTCTATGGCTTTGATCGATTAGTGACCGAAAGCAATGACCAGGATATCAAAAATAGTGTAGAAAATCCTGACAATCCTCAACCTTCTACCTCTGGTGTGGGCACATCTCAGTCACGTTTGGTTGTACCTCGTCGCAAGAAAAAACTAATGTTTTTGCGTGGTCAGGCTTCAGACTTCAGGAATGATGATGATAGTGATGTGGACTGTGATTTTATTGCTCTTAATGATCATTCGAGTAGTGATATTGAGGAATCATATTCACCAGTGAAGCATCGGTATATACGCTGCCGCATGTGCTCGGGAAGTGTTCCCTATGCAGTACCCAGGGGACAGAGTACATCCAGGAGTACATCCCGTGGCCCTACACCAGGAATAGACAGTCAAAGTGAGGATGATGTGGCTACACTTGGCTTGATAGACCACAGGCATCAGTAGGTGGTGGTATTGGTGGTGATAGTGGTAATGGTGATGGTAGTGCCACAGCCATGCATGACTCGCCAGCCCAGGCTGGGACCCACGCCGCTGACTCCTCAGCTCAAGGACAAAACAGAGCGTCACCCACCACCCCACAACAACTACAACTACAACCACAACCAGCTTACGATGTCCAGTATCTACCAGCAAACCGCATCTGGGATTGGCAGCAAAATCCCAATTTTGTTCCCAAACCCCACCAGTTTGATAACTCTCAAAGTGGAATCCTACCAACTTGTTCCCTTGGAAACACTGCAAATGAACTGGAATTCTTTGAACTATTCTTTGACCAGCCCTTGATGGAAACTATTATCAAGGAAAGTAACAAGTATTTTGAGTATACCATGGCAAATACTATCATATCACCACAGTCAAGACTACATTGGTGGAAAGAGACACCTGTGGCTGAAATATATTTGCTTTTTGCAACAATAATGCTTATGCCTCATGTCTATAAGCAGAATATAAAATCATTCTGGTCCACAGATCGGCAAATTTGTACCCCGGCCTTCAGTGAAATCATTCCAGTGAACAGGTTTATCTTACTGTCACATATGTTGCACTTCTCTGACAAAACCAGGCCTGACAGAAGTGACAGGTTATACAAGATTAGAAATGTTTTTATGTATCTGAAACAAAAGTTCAACATGTACTTTTATCCA